GGCACAATCTAACTATAAAAATCCCTGAACCAGAAATTGTTGCTTCAACTAAACCCTCAAAACTCAAGCTTACGAAATGGGGGTAGAGTTTATATAGGTACTGCTACCTAATGATTGTACCCATTCTGTCATGTACAGATGCATTGGTGTAGCACTTATCCACCATTCAGGCTGTCTGCCTTTCTAAAATCTTTCCAAGAAAAGCCATTGGAATATCCAAAGGCCATTAGCCAAGTTATTCTCAGCAAAGACAAAGCTCACTGATTAGCAGGGAGCTAAAATACTCACCTCAGTAGAATATGTCACTGTGCTGTAGAAAACTTTTTTCAAAGCTGAAAATAGTGTGTGATATTTACAATGGCAACCGTGAATTGAGGGCTTCCTCCTCAGAGAGAAGCTTTTGTTCCAAATTACATTTTAAATGATGATTATGTGCAGTGTTATAATAAACGCAATTATTCTGCCACTTCTATCAAAAATATTACATAGGAAACAAAAGAGATGCAAAGCTGAAGCTGGCTCATGATCCTGTATCACACCTTGACTATACACCTGATATATCTGATGCATCAGAAAGGTTCAGCACGTTGCGTGAACTTGTGTGCTGTGGTTATGGTGACAGAAAAAATAGCATGCATAAAATCTGATAGGACTGCAGCCATCCCTGTTGCCACTGCTGCTGCTTCAAGAGCTCTAAACAGATTTCTATTTCAGCTTTCGATTATTCTCCACAAATTGAATGCAGCACAGTACATGAACAGCTGGTTAGAAACAAATAATCAAAACATACACTTTGACAAGTGTGTCATCTTTAGCTTACTTAAAGTTCTGAAGCAACTACTAACATACCAAGTATTTTCAAGCATATTAATTTTAAGACCCAAATTACGAATGCTTTATCTTTGCCAGTTCAGGCATGAGCTGCTTGTTTCTGCATGTGTGTTCATACATCTGTAAAGGAAAGCGGTGCTTTTGGCACTCTCAGGCATTTTATTTATGCATTTTCCAGGTGCAGATTAAGAGGCTGCTTCTCAAACTATCCACCATTACTGTGGCCTGTGTCCCCCATTGACATTAGGAGTGGTGTGCACAGAGGGTTTCTGAGAGTTCTAAAAGCATCAAATGGGGTATTGAGCCAAGAGGGAACCAGAGCAGTAAAGAAAGCTCCCTGGAAAAATCAGGTTTTGATACTAAAACCCTGGTGTAATGCATGTACTCTTTACCATGTTTACAGGGAGTACATGTATATTTTTTAATGCACATGCATTTTCTTCTGGCCCAGTTACCAAGAACAGCAAAATTCTTCTTGCTTTTCAATGCAACACTAAAGAATTTCCAGAAAAATATTACGCTCCTCTGTTGGCACACTCAAAATGTGATGAACAACATCCTTAAAGTACATCGATAATTTAATAATCTTCATACAGTGAAGATCTTGGGAGAATTTGGTATTAAAGAACTTCAACAAAAACTGCAGGCACCACCTCTGTAAGACCCCCAAGGGACAATCTGGTGTTTGGTTGCAAACCAAAACCTTTCCATTCTTCTATGCAGAGTTTAATTGTGGTCTTCTATATTTATAAAAGTGGGTTCTTAGTGCGTTGCCACAGCCACACCAAAAAAAAGCTGTTCTTTGAAGGCTTGCAGACATGCCATGGCACACTGTAACTTCGGACAGCAGAAAGCAACATTCAAAGATAAAGCAACACTTCAGGAGAAACAAAGAAGAGAGAAGCAGTTTTCTAGCCAAATGCTCCAACAACAAGGTCCTGCCTGCCGCAGTTACCCATCTCTGTAGGTCAGGTTTTATGTTACTACCTGTCTCTTTTATGCTTGCCCTGTAAAATCAGTCACAAGGGATTCATGAAGTCTTTGACTCGTCTCCTTTTTAAAGGTCAGGGCTCTGCTTTTTAATTGGAAACGCAAAAGGTGAATGAGCCTGATCGTGAACACTGGTCCCCTTCTTATGTGCCTTAGGAGGCTCAAAGACTTCCAAAATACGTTGAGGATTTGTAGGGGTGCCCAGGGGGGAAAGGTGTTATGGAAGTGGTGGCATTACAGATTTATGCAGTTGTTTGTTCAGAAAACAAAGGTGTTGTTTGAGCCTAAGCAATGCAGTGGCACTCGTAGGATTTTCCAGTTACTGTACCTGGACCTGGAAGTGCAGAGTGGCCACCTAACATGATTTCAAGCTGATGACAGTATTGACATCCAAATATTTGTTAAATGATTTTTTTTCTTTTCATCAGGAATATGCCTTTTGATTTTGACAACTCCCTTTTTCCCCCATTGTGGAAAAAAAAGATCCTTAAGAAGAAATTGTCATTAGAAAGATGTAAAATATTTTGTTTAGCCTTGATACATACTGCAATATATCTAATGACTGAACAGCTTTGCCTCCAGTATATACATGTTTTGCCTGATCTTGATATATCTGGGTATTACTAGAGTGATCTTCAGCATGGATTCTGAACTGAAATTTAAATTTCTGAATAACTTTTTTATTCCTAATAATCCCGTTATTTGCTTAGATGGAAATATAAAACAGCAGAGAAATACCTTCTCTTTTACTTTTCTTCTTTCATTTTTTTTTTTAGCAGTGAATACAGCAACAGCATGTTTGCCAGTTTTCCCCAAAGCTCTCATGCACATACACGGTTGCCACCTGTTTAATCTCTGTGCATGATGTCCAGAACGGAATTTGGAGGGTTGGGTCCATTGCTTTATTTTGCTAAAGCTCAGTTTAGCATCCTCCATTGAATACTTATCTACATCTGTCGTGCCTTCCCTACTTGCTCCCACTAGAGTCCTCCCTGCTTTGGCAAATTTTTGCCTGCCAAAGCACTTCTCTAGTTTATGGACTACATTTCTTTCAATTGCCATTGCTATCTTCAATGTGAGACGATTTCCTGGTATCTTTACGATAACTGTCTCCACAGTTATTGCGTGATATGCTTTTTACCATATCTTCTATTTCTTACACAATGCTCTGAATTGAAATATTAAGAAGCATTAGAACCAAGGGTTAGCTGCAGCATTTTCAGGCACCTTTCTGTCTATATCAGATCATAGTCATCATAGCATTTTTTATTTAATTTTTTGCCTGGATTTATCCAAGATGTTATTGAAACTTTCCCTTATAAAAGCTTTATTGAGGATACATGTTCTATAAGAAGTCTGCATAACATTCACCAGTAGTATTTTTTGCTTTTACCCTTTTGCTTATCATATATATGTTTGAACACAACATAACATGAAGACATGAATGGCATGTAATTTCCAGAAACAATTAAGTAGGGTTGTGTTTCTCACTGGAGTGTCTTTTCTTCCAAAGCCTGCAGAGCTTCATAATTAGCACTCCTTTCTGTTCTTTTTTTTTTCATTTTACATATTTCATTCATAAAATTTCTCCCAAAAGACCTAAATTACCGCTAATACAGCAAAAAGTCCCAACTGATTGTGTGCAGATGAAAGACCTTGTTACATATCTACACCCTGATTTAGACTAATGGTGGAGTGATTTTAGGATTCTCTATTTTATTCAGCATTGTAACATTCTGCCTGACCCCCGTCTCTAACGCCTTAGTGTTTCACCTGCACTGAATGACTTCTGAGTGTTAAGGAGATATATCACCATTTCCTCTAATGGTTATTTAAAAGAGATTCTGCTTTTATTGCCTATTCCCATCATAGGAATCATAGCACTCCCTACCTCTTGCTATGTCTAGTCCATCTTCAAGATGCTCAAGCTGCTTCTTATTTCCCATTTTTCAGCTAGCTGTTAAGGTATTTGTTAGGAGTAGTGCCTACCTTGGTTATCCTGAGTTCAGGGAGAAAAAAAATACATCTTCTGCCACAAAAATCTTCCCAAAAAGAAGGTTGGATATTGCTGGGTTGCCTGTGACCTTCTTGCATGCCTCCACTTACTGGTCTATAATAGGTGAATAATAACGATCACCCAGGGCTTAATTACATACTGTTGGAAACATATTCAAGACTTTTGGAGAAAATCTGACTCAGGAGTTTTCTGTGCTTTTGCCAGGTACCTGAGTGCACTCTGTTAGCTAATTTCATGCTAGTTCTAAAATGGTTTTCTCTTTTATTCCTTCTCCTACTGAAGTGTCTCTTTAGCTGTGGTAGACACGTCTTTGTTCTTTTGAGGCAATTGTAATCATTGGAAAGCATTATCTCTCAGGACTTACTAGACTTCTGCTATTGCCAGAAGTAGGGTAATTAAATTGCCTCATTAGAATGAGGTCCTATGACTATGAAGTCCCTCAGCTCTCTCAGGGAATCCTCTCTACCCTCTGACAGACCATCCCATCAGATCTTTCTCCTTTCACCCTATTTGATGAAACATTTCCACTTAGTTTGTTACCCATCAGTATTTCATGTATTTTACAGCAGCTTACTTCAAGCCTGACAGCTCCTGAGACACACAGCCTGACTGACAGCATCCCAAAAGGCACATTCTGGATGACAGCAGTCCATGCTACCCTTCCCAATGGCAGGGGACACTAGGGATGTGGCTAAGCACATCCATGAGCACATCAGAGAAGCAGAAGTTGAGGGCAGAAAGCAAGAGGCAGCGCACACCAGCACAAAGAGGCAGCACACACCAATCTGAGTGAAGTTGCCTAGCTCTTCTCCATGACCCCTCACTCGCCTTTCCTGTGTGTTCCAGGCCTGCTTTCTTTTTTTATGCCCATAGGAAGCATAGGCTCTGCATGGCAAAACCTGCTCCTCTTTGCTCTGTAGAGGACTCCAAGCCCCTTCTACATCCCTTCACCTTAAGTCAAGGTGAAGGAGCCAAGAGTCCCGCACATGTCTGCAAATAGTAATATTACAATGTATTTTGTCACCATTACATGGGAACACCCCATACTGTGGACACAAAGGTTGGAAATCAGCTATCCCCTGACCAGCCTATCCCAGCACCCTGCTCCCAGCCCCATTACCCTCGGCTGCCCCGCACTCCCAAGCAGCACCCCAGCACTCACAGCACACAGAGGCAGTAAACTCCTGGGATGCTCTCGCTGTCCCGCAGCAGGTAGCTGCCATCAGTACCCGCTGCCAGCAGCAGCTTTTCCCCAGCCTCACGGGTGATGCCACCATGGTAGATGGGCAGCGCATCCATGCTGTGGCCGTCACACACTGCGAGTGACTCTTCCCATGCGTGGCGTTGCCTCTTACTGCTCCCTCAGCTGTGTGCTCCCCTCAGCATCTCCATCTGAGTGGCAGATGTAAACAGGATGTGTTCACACCTCTGAAGCCTCTGCACAAGGTAAGACAGCACTGAGGGAAGAGTGAAGAACAAGAACAGCTTTTTTGTGTTGTTTTTTCCTTTTCCCCTTTTTGTAAGCTGTAACGTCCCAATGGCATCACAGCTCGCACACAGAGGTGTCATTTCACTGCCCACCCCATGCAGCTCCCCGAGACATGATGAAGTACACGATGGCTGTGGGGTTGATGGCTGCCCAGGGTCAGGCAGGGAGGCCAGGACTGTGCCACCATTGTCAGTGCTTGTCTCCTCTGATGTTATCCCAAGGGGAGACAAAGAATAGTGAAACAGGACCCCAAAATCCTGTGCAAAGCAGGGATTAAACCTCTTATTTTTATAATCCCCAGGGGTTTGAAACTGGAGGAAACAATCTGGCCTTGCTGTACGTGCCCCACCAGGCAACTCACCTCAGGTGCCAAGAATGGCCCCTGCTCCATGGCAGCTGCTCCAGTGCCCCACCTGATTTACCTCACGAGTGGTTATTTTCATAGGCTTTGGCGGTGTTCAGTCATTGTTAATGTCAGAGGTGCTCCTTAGTTCTGCTTGGAGGCAGGCACAAGCCTCAGTGCAGGCAAGGAGGCCCCTCACATCCTTCCTGACTGCACCGATGCTGCTGCCGCCTTCGTGTGGTGCGTGAGCGGGCAGCCGAAATCCAGAGACATGTCTGACAGCCATGTCTCACCTACTGTGGCCACAGGCATTTCCTCAGTACCCTTGTCACTTGAAAGCTCCCATACGCACGTGTTTGCACATGGGTCTGTTTGCAAACAAGCTGATAATGTGCTGTTATACCCCCGTAGATATTTCCACCCATGGAAAAACTGAGCATGTTTCCTGGGGGTGCTGCCCTCACAACCATGGCTACCGGGCCAGCCCCCATGGGCTGCAGTGAGCTCAGGGAGTAATTCATCCCTGTCTCGAGGCCACTGCACTCCCCAGTGGGCCACGTTCTCACATCTGGGCACATGAATAATAACTCACTAAAATACGGTAATAAGTACAGGCCATGCTTATGACTGATTCATTTTAAATTGAGTTTGCTAGTAGGACAGGGCAGAATGAAATCATCTCACCCAGGGGCTCACAGAATACTGTGTCCTGGTTGAAGGATCGATGAAAAAATAACTCTGTAGATACAGACATTTGATAGAAGCAGAGAACGGTTTGGGTTGGAAAGGACCTTAAGATCATCTGGTTCCAAACCCCCTTGCCATGGGCAGGGACACCTCACCCTAGACCCTATTGCCCAAGGCGCTGTCCAGCCTGGCCTTGAACACTGCCAGCGATGGAGCATTTACCACTTCTCTGGGCAATCAGTTCCAGTGCCTCACCAGCCTTACGGTAAAGAGGACGGTAAGGCACCATATCTGCCTTACATCTAACCTGAACTTCACTTGCTTCAGTTTCAGGAACAAAAATTCAATTAAAAAACACCAAAAATAAGGACTTCTCTGTTTGAGTTTCAATTAATCAAAATGTGTTCTCTCGCTCATTTCACAGTCCATGCCTTTCAATTCTGACCTTTAATATCGTTTTTCCTTGAAAATCTTTTTTTTTTTCAACTAGATTTATCTCTTCTTTTTGAAGGATTGGCATTTCTGACAGTGAGCCGCAGAGTAGCTCACACATGGGGCTCTGCACCAAAGTCACTGAGGGCAAAGTTGCAGCTTCTGGAGGTACTGTGAACCTTTTGCCCTGCATGGAGAACTCAGCAAGTGGCTGCCCCCCTGCCTTGCCCCTGAGAAAACAGCAGAAAACCTCAGCTGAAGAAGGACTGAGAGCTTCCACCACCATGTTTATGGCTTTTATCTCTTGTATTGCAGGTGTTTGTTACCCCATTTATGTGAACCTGGGGACTCAGCTATCCTGCTCAGTTTTTTAAACCTGTTTTTAAAGTATTTGCACAAAAAAGGAGAGCTGCTGCCTACTGCAAATGTGATTAATGTGTATGGTGACAAGGTGTAAGCAAAGCATTGTTCTCTCCTAAAGCTGCTACCTATTTCTTCTCCTTTTCCAAACTACCTGTACTCTTTGGGGATTTCATCTAACTTTCCCATTTCTTCACCTAATCTCAATATTAGAAGTAGATTTCAGAAAAAGTATGTGTGTAGTTAGCTGAAAAGAAAAAAAAAACAGAATCATTCAATTCTGCAGATCTCATTGTCCCACTCATCAGATTTCAACTAATGCATAGGTAGAAAATCATGAAACTTTTAACTATGAGATGCTCTCTTAATAAGGGAGTCACCACATTAACAGTCCAGCCCAGGGTTTTGATGAAGCCGTACCTGTTACTATAAAAGAGCTGTAAACACCTAATTTTGCTTTTGTGGGTAAGGAACCCGTAAAACTCCAGCTACTGAACCCCGAAGTGCAGTCTTCCATACAAATCCCTTTATGACCACATTGACTATGCATTGAGTATACACTACTGCATTTTGGAACAAGGCACACTAAGCAAGAGTTGAGGCATGTAGCAGGATAAACCAAACCAAAGGACAAAGGTGCTTCCTGGGCTGAGAAGAGAGAAACTGTGGCACTGCTAGCACAGCTCTGGACCATACCACCAAGGCTGGGGAAATCCTCCGTTCTCCCTTCTCCCCCAAGCCATCTTCACTATACCTTTGCAGTGCTGGCACCCAGTCAGACTCAACTAACTGCTCTGGTTTTTATCTCTTCAATCTTACGCATCTGAACTGTTGTGTGACATCCTATTTCTTACTGCTGCTTATGCGCAGTGGGGCTGAGAAGGCAAACTGCAAAATAGAGCAGCGGGCTCAGGGGAGTATGAGCAACAATAGAGAATCAAACCTCAAAGGGGTGCTGCTCCTGCTTGGACTTAGTTCCCATTGTCTTCTACTGAAAATGGTGATATTTTTAAGCATCCTAAGCCTTGCCCTGTAGGATGCTGAATACTTCTCTTGTTTTGTTTGGAGAGTATTCAGCATATTCTGGACACCAGAGTTTCCTGCCTTCCCTACATCAGTCCAGGTAGCAGTCCCTGCGGTGTACTATAAAAAATTTATCTAAAAGATACATGAAGGAAAGGAAGTACTTAAAAGTGCTCTGAAATATTTTGCAATGAAAAACAGGCTTAAAAAGACTGGCCTGCATGGACCTCTTTTGTCATGAAGTCTACTTCCCTGCAATCTTAACCAAATACATCCCTTTCAGAAACTCATTATACTCCATCCTAAAAGTAGCTTGGGTTTTTTTTGTTGTTGTTGTTGTTTCCACTGTTCAAACTGGAAAGCAAATGCAGAACATCACTATTCTGTTGCTTGGAAAACAGCTTCCAGTTCCCATCCTAAATTTATTCATGACCAATTTATACTCATTTGTTCTTGTGCCAATGTTGTCCTTTAGCTTAAATAGATGTTTTCTCTTCCTGGAGTTTATGCCCATGTGGTATTCATAGTGGCCTCCCTCAACCTTCATTTTGCCAAACCTCTCTCACACTTAAAGCTCTCCCTTCCCATGGTCCCTTTAATCATCTTTTTTGGCAGCTTACCAAAAATGAAGTGAATCATTTGTGAATAGCATGCACTATCTTGGCTGATTTCTAACAGGTGCCTCATATGCTGTTAACCAGTGTTTCAATACTCTGATGGAAACACCTTGTGTTGTACATTCTATCTTTCCCCTCTTTATTCTTTTCTTACCTATGAGCCCACAGATATAATAGAAACGTTGTTAACAAGACCTAGATGCATGAACTTGCACTCCAGTCCTTCTGAATTTCATCCAATTCAACCTGTCTTGGTCCTCAAGGTCATTCAGTTCTTCCTAAATGAGAGTTTTATTCTTCTCTGTAGTGACAGTACCTCCCTCCCTTATGTCACTAGTAAATTCCATTAGCACATGCTTATTTTTTATGGGATCATCATTAATAAGAAATGTTAAACAATATCAGGCCCAAGACTGACACTTGGGAAGCTCTACTACCTTTCAACTGTACTGATCATCAACTCCTACTACTTTCTTATTCACTTTTCAATTTCTGTACTACTAATCTCCCATTTTAACTAACAATTTCCCACATGGCGCTGTACCAAATGCTGTACTCAAGTTTAGATAATTACCTCTGAGTACTTCCTTTGTCTAAAAAAAATCAATTATGATGATATTTCAGGCACCGGAACTTGTACAAGTACCTGAGAAGTGGAGGTAGGGGAGACAAAATGAAAGTACCTTAAGCTTTTGAACACCTGCAAAGATTTGGGCTGATTTTCATTTTCAGATGAGTTGCTTCATTCATCCCTTGTGATGACATTTTCATACACTGTTGAATTTTATAATAATTCTGACTATTATAACACAAATGCAAGAGCATCATTAAAATCCTTGGATATTGTTATTTGACTGAAAATAAGAATAACCTTCAGGACCTTTATAAAATTAATGCTACAGCAGAACTGTAATAGGAAGGCCTTGTATAAAGGGCTATAAAGCAAGATAAAAAGTAAAATACCTGTATTGGTAGTTTTGCTGGGACAGCAGTATTATCATAAATGCCATCCCTGCAGAAGCACTGAAAAAGCAGCTTCAAAACCAGCAGCTATAGCAACGTTTTTAAAAAACTATTTAACTGGCAAAATGCCACATTAAAACAAAGCTAACTTTAAATATGATTTGCATTATTTCGTGTCACGTTCATTTTTAGTGTAATCTAACAAGATATTCAGAACAACTATATAAAATAGTATCTGCAGACAGGCACTTGCTCTTTACATAAGAAAATAATGCTGAGATTCAGTAAAAATTGGTTATTTTACAGAGTACCTGCAGAGTCACCATTATCATGATCCCTTTTTGAGCTGAAATGAAAGAGGTTAGAAAAAGCAGGCTACAATTAGTAAATGTGTCATTAGCTGTAAGGTTCTGAGCATCAATACAGAGAGAGAATTCAAAAAAGTTTTGGCTAGTTCACAGATTTGCACATATTTTTACAGCCTCCATGTTAGTCATGATATTTTATTTATGTTGCTTGGGGGAAAAAGGTGGGGGGAAAAAAGAAAGGTGGTTATAATAAATAAAGTTGGGATGCAGGTGAGGATTCTAGCTTTATACTCCAGGATGCGTACATTAGTCAGATTTCATTCACTTTGAGCAAGACCAAGCTGTAAAACTGCACAGAACTGCTCAAACATTTGGGCACTTATGCAGGTGATTGCAGATCCAGGCTTTTGCCCCCTTCAAATTAACATACAGCCCAGGGAAGATCTCCTTATCTCAGAATATTAAGTCCTCAAGTGGCACATTAGCTACTATGAGGATTTCTGCGCAATGCTCAGAACTTGAAAAAATAAACTCTCATCACCTGGAAATTGGGTGTTTGCTGCCATCGGTCAGGGTTGATTCTGGGGAAGGACTGAGAATACAAAGAGTTAGGGACCTTTATGAATGAAACTCTTTCATACTCACCAGCATTTGTCTTCTGAGCACAGGTAAATACATACATACCATAAATGACGACATTTCACCGAACTTTAACAATATAATTTCCTCTGTGTGGTCTCACTGCTTATCTGTGCAGTTGTTTTGAATGCTTTATGAACGAGATAACACTAAAATTGAAAGCTATGCAACGTGGGGAAATTCATATTAAAACTTACCTGTGCTTTAGTGTGGTTTGTTTTAACAGTTAATATTTCGTACTTCTTTCTCCAGAAGCATTGCAATAGTTGGCTATTTTGCAGGTGCCTGTGCATTACTAAGCGGAGATGCCATTTGCGATAATGTCAGCATGAGCAAAACTACTCATAGAAGCTTGCACCTTTTTATTTTCTGCTATTACTCTTTCAACAACCCTTTCCTATAAAATTCAGCAATGCACAGGTAGTCATATGCATTAGGCACCCAGCTGCTCTGGGGATCAGGACCTCCATGTCTTTATGATTTAACTAAATCAACTTCAAAGTTGACAGGGCTAAATCATGTAATGATGCTGTCAGGGTGGAGTAAATGTCCATGCTGGAGCTCTTCTTGGAAACATTCCTGTGCAAGCAAGTCTGGAGCTGAATATAAGCTTTCGAAACTCCATTTCCACACAATACACACACAGTAGTTAAAACTGATTTGCTGATATCCCATCTGAGCTCCTAACGGATATTTATCTGAATTACAACAGCACTATGTAATTAGGCATAAATAAAGGCCTTTGTTCTGGAGGGGAGGAAGGTTTACCAATCCTGAACCATATGCAATTGCATGTCTAATCTCTGCCTGTAATTATTTCAAATGCACATCCAGATGATAGCATTTATATTCATTCTGAGATTCACTGAGTTTGAGGCCAGAAGGGATCATTATACCATCTGGCCTGACCTCCTGGATATCACAGGCCATTACATTTCCCCAGTTACCTCTATATTGAGCTCTGTAACATGTGTCTGACTAAAGTAAAACTATTTTTGACTAAAGCTTATCTCCTAGAAAGGCATCTAGTCTTGATTTGAAGCAATCAAGAGGAGAGAATCCACTACTTTGTGGGTATTTTGTTCCACTGGTTAATCATACCCACTATTAAAAATGTAGGTCATGTTTCCAATTTGAATTTGTCTGGCTCCAGATTCCATCCTCTGGATCTCATTATATTTTTCAGAGCTAAGTTAAAAAGCCCTTTGGTACCCATTATTTTTTCCCTGTGTAAGTGTTTATTCTCTGAAGTCAAGTTGCCTCTCAAATATTTTGTTTTGTTTTTTCTAATAAGGCTTCACTGAACTCTGAAAACACGCAGGGTAAAGTGCTTTCTCCGATCCTTCTTGTCTGTGAATTTTTAATCTGCCTGATATCTATTTCAGCAGTGCCCAGCCTCTTCTCACGGTGTCAGTAATGCACACAAGGAGTGCAGGGTCTCCACTGTCCTGGAAGCACATACTGAATTGCTTTTCCTTCCCAGTACACAACTGTAGGGTGAAGGAAACTACACAGTGCTGAAGTTTTGTAAATACAGAATTCAGCATGCACCATTTGTTCCCAACTGGACCAGTTTATTGTACAATCCAGGGTTTTTTTTATGCCTGGACTCACCTTATCATCATACACCATCAATTTGTGGTGATGCACAAACTGCTTCATCTGAAATCAAACATTGCTCATGGTAAAATAAAAATGTGCTGTGTGCACATTCCTGTTTCCAGCTTGAGTTTTTAGCATTTTCAGATTCCAATCATAAATCTATCTATAACAGCACAAAGGGAAAATATACAGATAAATATCTTATTTTTCTTTTAAGTTTTAGGCTTTAGAGGGTTTCTTAGCTAAGTTTAAACTAAACAGCAGACAGTTCAGTACTGCCCTGCACGCATTCTCACATTGCACTGCAGAGAGATTTTTCATGTAATGAATCACTCAAAATCTATTGTGGTGATGTTACATTGTGCAGTACAGGGAAATACACACACTCTCACTCTGAATATTTTGCATAGGGAGCAGGCTAGCAGCGGACTTCACTGCATGTTCATTTTGTAAGCCAGGCTGTCAACAAAACAGACACCATCTCAATGAGAAAAATGAACATGTTCTTGTTATACTAATTGTTCTTTGAAAGTTTTGCCTTAGTATTTTAGGCACAGAATGCTTTTTTGGCCTATATCACAGCAACATGAAAAATTACATTTCTGTCCTAAAAAAAACCCTCAGAACTGATGACGCATGTCTGTACACACACACACACACAGATATGTTATGCTTATGTATTTTAAAACACCTGTGTGTATTAAATTTCTGTCCTGGGTTCCGCAGTAGCAGTCATTTTTTCCTCCTTATTAGTAGCTGGTGCAGTTCTGTTTTTGACTTCCAGCCTGGGAACAGCACTGATAACACCGATGTTTTTAGTTACTGCTCAGTAATGTTTCGTCTGACCAAGGACTTTCTGAGCCTCATGCTCTGCCAGGGAGCACGGGAAGCCAGGAGGAAGCAGAGACAGGACACCTGACCCAAACTGGCCGAAGAGGTATTCCATACCACAGCACGTCATGCCCAGGATGTAAACTGAGAGCTACCCAGAAGGGCTGGTTCACTGCTCAGTCAGGCTGAGTATCAACAGGTGGTATTGTGTTCTCCTCCCTTGTTACTTCCCTTACCATTATTATTATTGGTGGTAGCAGCAGTGGTTTGTGTTATACCTTAGTTACTGGGCTGTTCTTATGTCAGTCCATGGGAGTAACATTCCTTTGATTCTTCTCCCTGTCCCTCCAGGAATGGGGGAGTGGGGAGGAAGGGGAGGAGTGAATGAGTGGGCTGTGTGGGTCTGAGTTACTGACTGCACTTAAACCACGACAATTTCCCTTTCTTTTCTCACAGATCCTGAAAAACTCACTCATTAAGCTTTATCTTTTCCCATTGGTGAAAGACTGCAATAGAATTACTTTGCTTCAGCCTAGGAAAGAAAAGGTCATTGAACTCAATGACAGGCTGTACCATCAGTTCATAAGCTACACTGATAGTAAAGTGATTAGAAGTTCTAATCTCATTCTGATTGACATGAGCAGTAGAGCTGTCTTGCTTGTGGTGAGAGCAAGAGCAGGTGAAACTCCTCTGGGCAGAATCATGTGTTTTTGGAGAGCAGCATTGTTTAGGCAAGTACTCAGCATTTGACTTCTGTTTAGACCCTTCCCACGCTGTACGATGCATAGCACAAGATCAGCAGAGCCCTGCAGATCTGGCATCTCCAAAGGAGCACAGTGAAAGACCGTGGGTGGATTAAACCCATGTCCTTTTAATTTCACTATTGACTGCAGAGTAAATCAAATATAGTGGAGAAAAGAGCAAATGAAATTGAGCTGGCCAAGACAACAATATTTACATGCCAAGAGAGGCTCTTACTCCTCATATGATTGCCACAGCTCTGTGCTTTTGAGGCCATTCCCTAAGGCAGATGTGGGTTTTTCAAAGGTTAGAAGCAAAGCAGATGAAGCCTGCGTGAAGCAGAGGATCCACCAAACTCTAGGTCACTGCTTTCAATCTATACCAGATGGGTACCCCCTGATAGCCAGCGCTCTCATGCAAGTGTCTCCAGAGAACCATTTCTCCCTTGGCTGGCATACTTGGGCAGCCACATAGATTGGGAAGCTGTGTCCCAAGCATGGCTGAACCCTCCATGTCATGGTCAAGGTGAGCCAGATGGACAAGAGGAAGACTGCATGTGGTAGCTTGCTACTCTGTTTTAAAATAAATTAAAATGGCACCAAGACACAGAGTCTGCAAGGCTGAAAGGAAAGCCTTTACCTTTGCCTCCCCTGATGGGTCTCTTGGCCTGTGGGTTACACCCAAAGTTGGGGTGGCAGTGGCTTGTGGGGAGCATCTTTGAGGCATTAAAGACTTCATCCTCCTGAGTTCCAAAGAGGAAATTTTATTTGGAAGTGAAACTTGCTGCTTGACAGGACATAACATACCCATGAAAGGTTGCTAGCAGATCAACATGAGGTGGGTCCCAAGACCCAGCCAGGGCAAAGAACAGAGCCTCCCACAAGGCTGCTGCCTGTGGGACTGGCTCCTTTAAACCAACTATGAAATACTTCACACTTGTGTCTATTTTTAATGTATGTAACCATTGTGACTCCCATGGGGATGGTGTCTAAGCACCCTGATGGTGTTTAGGGACAGCATTATCATCCTCCCCTCTCCCTGGGAGCTCATATCCCTTCTTTTTCTGGGGGAACTGTCCTCTAAAATACAACTGAAACCCCTCACTTCTGGTGGTACAAGGAAAATACATATGAAAAAATAAGAGAATAGATCAGTTAGATAAATTTTTTACCCAGTGATTATCACAGATCTCCTTACAGCAAAAAAGTTAGCTGTGTCTGAAAACACTGCATTCAGGCTTTGCAACCTGTAGTTCAAAAAAATGTAAACATCAGGCCATTAAGATTTAATTGCTTTTTATATTCTCTGTGGAAGCTTTTACTATGAAGTATTCATAAGCACGTTCAGGGCTGGCCAAAAAGCATATTACAGCTTTGCTTACAGAGGGATGCACTCGGGAACATTTTCAGGTACCAGGCTGCAGTGACCTGCTCTCCGGAGAGACCCCATCCCACTGGGCAGGAGCAGTGCAGTGGCAACAGGTCAGTCAGGGACCATACTGCTGCCCAAGTGCCCAGTGAGGAAAAAGTGCCAACCCTTTCCCACTATGGGCTGTAGTAGGCACATTATTCTTTTTCTGCTAAATTTAGATGTTTGAATTCAACCTCCTGCTCTTCTTTGACAGCTAAAACAGGCAGAAATCTCCTCTCTGAGATATTTTCCTAGCTCAGAGTTCTTCATCAAATAGAAGAGGATTTTCCCCCACCAAGATTTTGTAGTGCAAATTTAAAAACGAAGTACAATTCTGATTGCATTTTCATTTAATTAGTTTTTATATAAATATTTCATATAATACTTGCCTTTTTGTGTTGTTCAAACTTTTGCTTTACTGTTCTTCCCGCAATATTTTCACTCATTAGTTCTTAGAGACAGTAGGATAATCCTGGCAGACTTCAGGGCATCATAATTCTTTCTCATAACTTTTCAAAGATCTCCTCAGTCTTTACAAAAATTTCAGACATGTAAACTTAGCTTCTTTGTGATAACTGAACATCAACTGAGAAATTACTGAGTGAAAAAGGGAGAAGCAAATTAAAGTACAAGAAATGAGATCATTCTAGATAGCATGTTTCATTCAACAGAAGGAAAAGAAAAGAAAACCCACAAAATGTATGCTTTCCCCTTGGCTGAGCCATGTCCAGATTACAAGACAGTGGAAATGTTCCTCTTAACTTCCAGGCATTTGAGGTCAAATAATTTCATGAAGTATCACATTTTTAGCCCACTCCTTTCTTGTCAGCTGTGCCCCTTCACACAAGTCATGTCTTTTGTAAGAGGGTATAAATGCCCCCAATTTGACTAAGGTCAAAGTAGTAGTAATAAATCATAGGCATGAAACCCCTTCTGATTCAGCATCTGTAACACACTCATCTACCTTAATCTTCAGGAAGAAAGGTCTGATGCTTAACAGAAGTCTCCATGTTCCTAATTAGTTACAAGAAGGTGAAAGGAACATTTATGGAGATAAGATTATGTGCTTTCTTTAAATGTCATTCTTCACTTCCAATGGCAAAGGTATGTAGGGGCAAAGTATTTATAGTACCATCATAAAAAAAGACATCATAATCCATTTGTTCTACATAGTTGGTGCTCTATTAATACAGTATATTCACTGCTGCCTTGATCAGGGGAAATCTAATAACATGAAACCAGATCACTAATTTTTGACTTCTTACTTCTCAGTTTCCTACAAGGAGTAAAGAGCTGTCTTACTGAATCCTTTTTAAATTACATTCACTGAAATTTATACAGTAAAACTCATTCAGAAGATTATTTCTTTATAGAGAAAACATGAAATTGCCTAAGCCTAGAGCAGCATGAGGAGCAACATGAGACTTTAGTACTACAAACCAGATCACTTGCTAGTAGGTATCAACATTTCTCCAGAAAATAGTACCCACTAGTATATAATGTGCATCCACCTTTTTACTGCCCAGAGGCAAGATTTTTTTCTGGCCCTTCAGCTTCTCCTTGTTAGCACAAACTCTGCTTTTCCTCTCTCTTCCTCTCACAGAACATTACCTCCCACACCTTCACTGTGTTCTCCTCAGCTTCACAGAAACAGAAACCTCCAGACAGCTAAAAGAAATAAAGTCAGTCCTCCAGTAATAGCTCCTGGTCTAGCTGAGATGGTGGTATTACTGTATTTTCTCACTGTATTTAGCTTCCCTGGCACTTCCCCCATGACAGGCAACATGTCCCCTTCCACCTTGATATACTGCAGTTGGGCTTAGCAGGCATAGATGCAGGAGAGGTTGAGAAGAGCTGAGGCACCGTTGTTTTCTTTAGTTCTGCCTATTTATCAAAGTACTTTTATGGTCCCTCTCCAAGCTCTATCTAAGCACTACAGGCAATCAAAGGCTGGCTCTATGGGAGAAGGATTTTATTTTGCGAGAGAACAAGTAGAATGTCAATACCTCTCATGGATTAAAACAACCAGCCAAGCCAATGCTGGGGGTATTTCCCTCACCTGACCAAATATGTTTTGTTCAGTTAGAGAAAACAGAGATGAAAACTGCATCCAGGTCAATGGATGAAGACTGCTGTATCACCACAAACTAAAGAAGGAACCCACTTTGGGTAAAATAATGCTGAGAAATATATGTTTGTGAAATAATTTAAGATCCCTCCATGTAAGCTGCAATACATAGTCTTGTATATACATTTCTAAATAACCTGTATCTCATATGCAGATTTCAGTCATCACACAGCACTCATTTCTACTGTGCATTTGTATATACAAACCTATGGCATTTTCAGTTTGGAGTAGGTATTCCAGAGCCACAACCTCAGCCTGGTTTTACAACCTGATCTGTAATAATGCCCCAGCAAACCACATCTCTTTATATGAAGACCAAGAAACTATTTTTGCTATCAAACAACTTTATAAGCTATCTTAAACCACTCTTTCGTTTCATTTCTTCATCTTCCCCTCTAACAGTTTTTTAATACATTTTGGTTCTGATCTTTTATAAAAGTGAAATTAAACACAGTGCTGTGGCTCAAATATGTAATACTCATCTGCTCTGGCTGCTGAGAGATGTCCATCTTCTTGATTCCTTGGGCAAGATATGAGAGAAGAAAGAACCTAAGGTTCCAGATTAGCTACCAAAAATTGAATAGCTGTCCAATTATTATCCCAAAACTGGAAAGGTCAACAGCCCCATGCTAAACATGGGTTGTTTTTTTTTTCTTGAAGCAGTTCAGGACAAATTTTTCTGGCTATTGTAACCATAATGTCATTTAAACTGAGTTTCTTCTGAATGTAATTTACTGCCAAAGTTTACTGAGCTTATTTTAACACCATAGTGGGAGATTAAACTATCATTCTAAATATTTTTATAAAGGTTACATTAGTACATTTTGTTTCTTTATTGCTTTACTGAATGTCAAGGTGCAGGGCACTCAGTGAAGCCTGACAGTGACTAAGAGATATAAAGGTCATGTCGAGTACATTTGCTTCAAAAGTTCAACCTTTGTTTTACCTAGGAAATTATTCACAAATTACTGCCTACAATAAAAATTAATACAAGAAGACATCATCCACACTCAGAGCACCAGAGGCACTATGGGAAATTCTGACATGGGGAAACCCACCAGTCCTCAGCGTTGTCTTTCCAGTTTAGTTTCAGTGGTGTTTTAAATTCAGACCTGAAGCTTACCTCTGCCTTCATGGAGCAACACAAGCTTGTCAGCACTCCCTTTGATCTCCAGAGCCTGAAATCTTTCTGCAGGCAAGACCAATAATAAATATTAATATGCAAACTAACTATTAACAATAATAAAATACATGACTGGCGATAACATAATAGGTAAAAACAGTAATATATTTACTTTGAAGAATGTGTCTCTCCTCAACTTGCCCCGAGCACCCCCACACATCTTTCCTTTGTCATAAGTGTATCTTAAGATAATCATTTAAACATGAATTTTAAATATGCATCATCAATTGAAAATATTTTTTTTTTGTCCACATCAAAAGAGAAAATTTGTCATAGCAGAGTTTAAATTGAATTATGAAGTATTTGGTTAACAGGGCACTTGACTTTTATTACAGATGAGTATATCATGGTTACTGCAGTTTTAATCCTCTCAGGGTTTTTTCAGGAGCAGCTCTGAAGTCATTAGCACTTGAGGGTGTTTAAAAATTCAGAATGTGAGTAGAAGCAGGGCAGGGTGATCATTTATGATAGGAGGGGGAAAGAAGTATTATAGGGTGAATGCACAACCAGTTCTGGTTCCCCCGCACCAGCATCACTAGTGGCAGCACTGGGGCTGCTGGATTTCATTGGTGAGGTACTGCTATGAGCTGTGCAAGCCAAGCTGCTCACCATTGCATCAAGACACCACAGGGTCTGACGTCAGACTTCAGCTGAAAGAAGTCATCTGCAATGGCTGTAGAAACAAGTCCTCTGCTGAGAGAAAGATCATCATCAGCTTGGGCAGGGAAACACCATCCTCATTTTCTCCACCATTCTTGCTCTCCTCCCCACAAAGCACTGCACCTCTGAGCCCTCAACCCCATCATGGGTGGCTGAGGCACCAGGATTTCCCACAGCTCCAAGCCCTTTGGCACACCCCTGCACAAGGCACAAGAATGGTCTCATGCAGGCAGGTCTCCTGCAAGCCCAGACAGCAGAGGGGCCATCACTGCCCTTTGCATGGGCCACCAGGAGCCCAGGGAAACACCACATGCCTGCAGCATTTTGAGCAAGTGGAGAAGTAACTGACAGAGTCCAGCAGCATGCCACCTTTGCAGAGCTTCCCAAGCTTAAATAAAAGAAGCCTTTAGTGATAGTGTTCAAGCCACAGAAGCTGTACAGGGTGAGACACTTTGGGTCTCCTGGTAGTGTGAGCTTTTCTGTCACTTCTTGCCTTGCACTGTTCACCACAGGTGAAATGAAGAGCAAAAATCAGAAAACAAGGGAATTCTGTGCAACTGCCTGAGAACACCATTCAGCAAGATGTACAAACCCACTTGACTATGGTGCCAGGTAGCTTTTCAGCTGTGCAGTGTGATGGCCTCTCCACACCCCATTGAATGCACTGAGTGGTCCTCAGGAAACAGGTCTCACACCTTGTTTTTTACACTGTGTGCTTTACGTTTGTTGATATTTGATCTGTTGGTATGAGGTTTGACACAAGAGCAAAGATGATCAACTGAAAAAACAAAGTGTTGCATGTCTACACAATGGGGAGTGAAGAGCTCAGCCCCTGTGAAAACCAATGCGATGCAACAATTTAGCATGTTCTGCAAAAGATGACACTGGACCACCTCTGATTGCACCAAAACTTGCTTTCAGCTGAACCAAAACAGGGTTGCTCTTGTTATTTGAAATGGGGTTTCTCCAGTGGGAAGAAAGCATATTGTGCTGTATTTCTTATTATGCCCTTTTTTGGCTATTTTCTTCTATATCTGGCTTATCTTCCTGTTTTTCCTGCCTAGTCTACATAAGGTTTCTAGGGTGCTGCACATCTGTGTACATTATCAGATTACAATGGCCTGCTACTCTTGAATGTGCTGAAACTTGAGAAGTTTATTTTCAGTTTGACATCCCAAGTAAATGAAGATAATTTTTAGATCAAGAAGTCTTTCATTTTGAATTTCAAATATATAAAATTCCTTTCAGTGAAACACATGAGCCTCATGGAAATGCATGAGCCAGAAAGCAAGAATTCAGTAGGTGCTTTTTCTCCTTTACAATTTCTTCGTCATTACAACAACGCAGCACACTGGAAGTAAAAATCAAGAAGAAAAATTAGAGTGTGGTTAGCAAGGGGGATATAACCTAATACCAGCCACTATTATATTTCCACATGCTGCTTAATGAATCAATGCTGGCAGGAAAAAAGATTGCTGGAGCCTGAGGCAGCTAGTAACGGCATGTAACATAACATGCGTTTCCTTTTAGGTGTCATTCTAAGAAGTTGGTACGTACAATTTCTAGTTCTAATATAATGAAAGCGGAGGGTGATGCTGTCAAAATGAGAAATTCTGGCAGCACGGCTTGAAACAACACACAGCCAGTTCATTAGGCGCTGGGCAAGCCCTCCTAGAACAGCACTGGGAGCAGGATGGTTGACCCAAGGCTGTGTGCCTCCCCACCATGGGAACCGCCGAAACCCACCACCACCAGCAGCTGAAGAGATGTGAGACAGGTTTAGAAACGAATGTGTGAGCTGCTCACACAACATGTAACTGAAAGCATGCAGGCATCAACTGCTCCTGTCAGAGCCTGCACAGCCTGGAAACAGAGAATGAACATTAATGAAGTGCCATGCATGGAAATGCCTCCTGGTTAGCAGAGACACTGCGGGTGCTGCATGGCACCACCAATGGCATCCATCTAAAGAAAACCTTACTATTTGGCCCCATCATCATGACGTATCACATCCATATTCCTCCCACTCCAGGACATTTGACTTTTCTTTGGCCTCATCCTAGCAGCTTCACCTATATGCATTCAGCACCCTGTGGGTGCTGTGATCACCTCTGAGGTACCATCCTTCCTCCCCACCTGTGGCCACCTCCTGTATGCCCAGCTATGCTCTCCAAAGACCTCATTGGTATGTACAGCCTGTAATCAGCAGTGAAATACTTCAGGATTCATTTCAGTGGAGGATGTAAGGCTTGAATTGCATTATATTGTCTGGTAATTAATATCAAGAAGAGATTCTGCACAGTGCAACAACAGCCATAAAATTGCTTCAACCACATGGGATGCAGAGAGAATAAATGACAGGATATGACCATTATTATTATGGGTTTTTTTTTTTACTTCTGCTAAATCTTATAACATCCTTTATGAACTTCCTTTCAAAATGACTTCTCGACAGAAAATGGAACTAAATCTCTAAATGGGGCATCATGTCATTTCAGAAGGGCTTAAGGCCAGCCAGTTCAGTCTTTAAGTACCGTCTCCTAACCTGCTCCCTGATAGCCAGGGAGAAGTCCCTGCGCTGTGCAGTCTGCCAAGAGGGAAAACAGTCTTCCCCAAGAGGGAAAACAAGCTGGAGCAAATGGAAGGGTGCTGCAAAGGACCAGAAACGCCAAATGACCTGGTGTTGTGGAAGGATCAGGTTTAAAGACTAATTTCTCATGAGCTGCAGTCAGAGAACCTTAATAATATTGCGGTGGCAAAGGAGCATGGCCCTGCCACAAATCTCCTGTGGTCTTTCAAATACCAGTCCCACAGTGACAATAACGACAGCCACTGGTTTGTGTCCTTTGACTATGAGCCAGTTCATACAATTAATAACACAACCCTGCCCAATCAACAGAATGATCCATCCTTGCCCCTAGGTACTGATCATGTGTCAAGACAATTAATTGCAGCAATGTACTATGTGAGGAAGGCTGCTCCTAATGTCAAATGTGGCAGTTTTTCTGAAGGGCCCAAGGTGAGGATCATCTTAATATCCTCCCTTACAGGAATACTACATGAGAGAGGAGAACTTAGTCAACACGAGACCTACAAATAAACCTCCCTGTTAGGTTCAAACCCACAAGATCCGGAGCACCCACCACCTCACACTGAACAGAATCATGCTTATCAGCAAAGGTTACAATTTTCCACTTAGATTGGATCAAATCTGGATGGCTAAATTTAAAAGCTGATCACCACAAAGGATTTTCAAGATTTTTTTGTTTTCTTCCACCAACTTTGCTAGCTCACAAGAAGCGTTTCGCCTGCAGAAGATTGGTCCTGTACCAGGGAAGGATTGTCACTGATTTTCATAGAAATATGATCAGATCTTCCATTAGCCACCATCTCACTGGGCATGGAATTGGGTGCAGATAAGGGGAGCTAGCAGGGAGCCTGAGAACCCGGACTTTGGCCTTAAAAGTGAGTCACTATGTCAAAGTGGTCTTTGTTTCCCTTCACTTTCTCTTTCTCTTTTTCCTCAAAGTAAGAGGCGAAAAGTCAGACAGGGTCCACACCCAAGGATGGCAGAGCCACCTCCCCAGTTCAACCTCCCAACATCTGCTTCTGGCACTGCTCCACGCTGCACACAGCTGAGGGGACACCCCTTCTCAGGTGAGGGAACCAACTCATATGGTCACAATTTCACGAGAAGCACCCACAACCTTTTTGACCCCTCTGCAACCAGGGCTAGCTGGTTGTTGGCAGGATCCCTCCATAAAGGTGGAAAGCAGCCCCAGCAGCAAGAACCATGGCAGAGGGTTTGGTGACTGGAGCTGCTCTCTCACCACTGCTTCACCTTGTATTTTGATTTCTCACTTTGACTCACTGCTCCCAATCATCATTGTCATCAATAATAAGAGGTGCTGAGGCACATTTTACAAATGCGTGCTCTTAATCATCTTGATATCCGAGAGGAGCCTTGTAGATAAGAAGGGCTGTTATCTCCATTTCACAGAGGCAACGTGAACCCTCTGCACAGGATGACTGCAGCCACACAAGGCCCCAGGAGCAGCGTGCAGACATCGCATTGTGCAAAACTGGGGGGATAAAAGTCCTTCTAGTGCTGCAAAGGGTGGATTTAACCTCACACACTGTTCTAGGGCCGGGTGAGCTCTTCCAGTACTCACAGATTCAAAATAACCTTTCCCCACTTTGTCATACCTCTCTGGCTCATCCGCACCAGCAAAGGACACATTCACCCTTCCTGGCTCCTTTGGTATATGTTATTGTGAGTCAAACCCTGCCTGGAAAGTGTTGCTCTCCTACTCATCCCACTGTGAAAGGCCACCCGTGCCCTAGTCACCCATTTATTTCATGTACAAAAAATTGCACTCATAATGGGAGAGCCCGGGCAGAACTCCTCTGAGTCTGAAAAGACATTTTTCAGGATCTGACAGTAAAACACCACTTGTGCTATGCCTCTCATCTGTTCACCCTTTCAGTTAAGCTTTCACCCTGTGCATTAGAGAAATGAGTCATCTTTACCATCTCTCACGCACTCGCTTTGTCAGTACCTTGCCTTAATCTTCAGGTTTTCACTATCACCTGAAATATATGCTCCTTAATCTCTAATACTACTTTATGGGGGAAAACCACTAAAAAATAAATTACGGTTATAATGAGAAGCTTCCAAAGACACGCTCCTATAATAACACAGAGGAATCTCCACGCTCAGTATTAAAAGGATAAATTTTCAGTGCATCCCCAGTTTCACAGGTATACACAGCTCTTCACTTTCACCTGCAAATGACTCCATACATTAACAGAGAGACAAAACTCAATCAAGCATGTCTGTCATTGCGATTATGGCCTGGCTGTAAAGCAATTTCACAGAATGTGAGAGGACCATGATATACCTATTACATCTTAAAAGCCTCCCTCATTGTGCCAGTTTTACATAAATTTATTCCATGCTGTAGATTAAGGGTTCAAAAAAATACCCTATTTGCCCACAGGGATGGGAATGAGCAAAGTGTTGAGACTGGAGGCAGTTCATCATTTGAACCAGGTTTTGCACCTGCAGAATTCCTTTTTTTCTACTTGGCAATACCTTGGTGGCTTGCACAGTCCCAATGACTGTCACAGACTACTTGTGTATCTGTATCTTATATAAATAAAAAATAAAAGTTTTAAAGGCTGAATGAGAGACCCCAATATTCCAGTCTGACTCAGACTGTGGAATTCAATGGGGGAAATATAGCCCTTAACTCTCTTAGGAAAATAGACCAAGAGCTATGCACTTCTCTGCCTGAAGATCTTCCATAGTGACTTTAGCACACTTTCAAATTACACACACACATGCATGGCAGTTTTAAAGCTGTAACTATCAATGCAAGTTGCCTTCTTCAACCATTCTCAAATTCTGACATGCCCTCAAACCCTAAATTTGACTTAAATTATTTTCAAGCATTTTCTGACAGCTCAAGCTACAAACTTGGACTTTTAAAATAAAAACTGAACTTGTTATTATTATGAAAACACAAAATGATGTGAAAGTTGACATCTCGGTCACCCTGGCTCCAGTAGGAGAGTTCGTGCTTATTTTACTAGGAAATCAGCAGGTGTGCAAAAGCTCCTGCAAGCACTGCAGAGCTGATGCAGCTACAGGAAGCAGAACTCTCCTTCAACCACAGGAACCTGCCCCAGCTCCATCTACAGAGCTGCTGGGTTTGGGCTGCTCTGGCCAAGGCAGAGCATTGTTGGGTGATGCTGTGCCATGTTCCCAAAAGAAAGGAGGAGCACGAATCACAGCAGGAGTCTTCTCCACACTGGCAAACTGAATGTTTTCCTTTGAAAGCCCAAAAAAAAAAAAAAAAAAAAAGAAAAATCAATGCAACAGTGCAGAGACTTTCAAATATCTGACCATAGTTTATAAGGAACGGCTTAATCATGCCATTTTCAGAGAGAAAGTCATAGCAGTTCTTGGTGATGTACAACTTGCTCTCATGAACGCAGGGAAAAGCCAGGGCTGTCTCTTCAGTGTAGCTGCTCAGAGAAGCTGCTTTTTCTTCCCTACTATGAAAAAACTCATTTTTGCCTTCTTCAATACAAGATGGAAGTCTGATGCCTTTTCATTTTGCCTTTTACTAGGATCCTGAATCTGCAAGGCTAAAGCTGAGCTCCCTTGAATGACTCTGATGCTGAAACATGTACATAACTACTTTGCTGAATCAGGCGCTCTTGAAGTATAAGGAGGAAGACATTCAAGCTTTGTAATCCAGCAGCACAGCAGGGAAACTGCTTGTCTCTGCGTGATTGTGTAATTGCTTTTCAAAGGAAGAAGCAAGTTTCCATATCCACGTAGCACTGATAAACCTCAGAAGTCACTTTGGCCTCCTAGCCTAACTTTCAGGATTATTCATTATGGATAAAAGGAAAGACACTTCTATTTCTATAGCCGACAAGCTTTGCTTCAGGGCATGCATTTATTTTCCATGCTGTTGATCTCTTCTCTCCTGTATCAGGCTAATTCATCAGATTAATAAAGGACGATTTAGCTTCCTGCAGGGTGTTATTGATCTCTCAGGGAACATTGTTTGCTATTGCCACCTCTACCCTGAGCAAGGGGGATGATTTTTAAATATTTCTAATGCTTGAAGGCTGCAGCTGGCTCTCACCAAGCACCTATGGAAGAGGATAAGGCAGCAACAAAGGGGAAATGCAAAATGTATCATCTCAATCCCTCTGCTTTCCCCTGCCTGTGTACTGCTTGATGTGTCCAGAGCACACAAAGCCACAGCGAGGAAGTGAGAACAAGCAACTTGCTTTAGAGGGACAAAGCCCATCTAGGCTTAGCTGTCACACACTTAATCCACCAGCAGGGATTATTTGAAACATGCTACACAGTTCATAGATTATAATGTCAGAAAGGACCCCTGTAACCACCTCCTGCATCACCCACCAGCAGGATAACTTCTCACTCTGAGCCCTCAAGCAGCAAATCACCCTCCCAGTGCTCTCACATCTGCTCCCTGGGGAACACCTCTTTGCTCTGCATTGGCCTAACCTTCAGCTGTCCATAATGGGATCATCTTCTACTTCTGGCAGCCTTTACCAGAGCTGTGTTTCTGTACATCTCTTCAGAGCACCTTTGAAGGCACTGGGGCCATCAAGTCATGAGTGAGGCACAGGACATCAGCTGTGCTGAGCAGCACACATGCCTCTCAGCCAGCCCTGCTCAGCCAGGCATGACAGCGGCTGCACAGCTCCTTCCCTCTGCCAGGCAGACACTGCAGTGCATGGTGCTCTCCCACCTCCTCTTGCATCCTTCCACAGCAGCAGTGGTTTTCTTAAGAGACCTGAAGAGAACAAACGTTTCAAAAATATTCATGTGTCATCCATCCAACACAGAGACCGAAGCACCTCCTTCCCAGAGCTGCAATTAACCTCTCTATCCCCCCAAAATTATCCCCATACCTTTAGACTACGGTGCTGGATGAGAAACTTTAATTCATTGTAATCTCTCAGTCATTCCCTGGCTCCCTGCTTGTCTGAGCAGAAATCCCTGCCCTGCAAACACAGCCTGGCTCCTGGCCGCCAGGATGCAGGGGTTGACGTTTGACCTTATTTGAAAACAAACACTGTTTATTTGTGCCAAGCTACAAAGCCCAAATGCTCAACCTCAGCGACTTACTGCCTCATTCTTCACCTTCCTTCTAGTTTACTGTCATCTGTGAATATTCCACTCTCTCCCCAAAACCATTGACAGACATTTTACATTGTAAAAGAGCAAGACCTGAGCCCCACTAGAGCTGGGCAGAAACATGCTCCCTTGCTCCCCTGTTTGCTGCCGTGTTGTGCTGCTTGTAAATCCACTGGCTTGAAATTCACTCAGTATGTACTATATTAATTTTATACTACTCTAATTCCTTAATCAATAGCTTTGAAGAATCAAATATCTCTGTAAATTACAACAATATTATTACCTTTAGCAGTCTAATTTGCAATCTCATTAAAAAGGTATCAAGTTCTTTTCTGTAACCCTACAGTGATGGAAGAACTCTCCATCCTTCATTAGTCATACCCTCGCACGCATGTTTGCCTAGGACAGGTATCAAGCTGGGCTGTCCCCAGCTGTTTTTCCAAACCTGGCACAGCAGCAGCTTGCTTTCATTGCTGCCCAACCGTGGCAACCCAAGGTCCACTGAAAATCCATACAACCCATTCACAAAGCTGCAAGGCTGGTACTAGTGACCAGTCCTCTGACCCACAGGTGCAGAGCGTGCAGTAGTAGACGTGTTGTGCAGACACATGGGGTCACCGTGAGACTCTCCATCTCGCAGTATGACCACAGCTGAAATTGGTTTTCCCCAAACATGGCATATTTATTGAATGTTTCTGCATGTATCGAGCACCTTCTCTGCATCAAAGGCTCTTCTGCAGAGTTTAGCTGGTACCTGTCCAAATATATGCCTCTTCTTCCCAATATATTGTGAAAATTACTGAGCTCTGCTTGCATCATTTTCCTTTCCATATGAAAGGAAAATCCATTTTCTTGCATATAGAAGAGGTTTGGAGCCAGAATTAAACAAGGAAATGTTTCAAGAGAAGGGGCTGGGGACTGCTTTCTCCCAGCGTGGGGGCTTGCAGCAGTTGGTGCTGTTAAGCTGGTTGATTAAAGACTAAACCCACCCCACGAAGCTGTCTGTGTCTGACCACTGCCCACATCCCTAGCTCAGGCACATTTCTCATCATTATCCCTTAACCCCACAGTTTCCAGTCCCACTTAATAAGGCTGTGGTTGTTTCTGACTTTTGGCATGACAGATAAAAAATTCTATGCCAAACTTCAGTTCATAAATCCCAGTAGGTAGATTGGGTGGGCCTGCATTATAAAGGAAAATAACTGCAGAAAACTTAGTTTGGGGAAAAAAAAACAAAGGTCTTAAAACTGATTTGCTGACAGAGTAGACCTTGATGTCATCCTTCTGTAAGTAGGTTATGATTGTCAAATGCAAAATGATATGCAAATACATCCATCACATCCTGCTGCTTCCAGTTTTATCTGCGTTTTTCCTCTTTTTTCTTCCCTTCCCCCACCCCTCCTTCTCCTTGAGTATTCCAGAAGCTGATGAGAAGTGTTTGACCTGTGTACATGGCCAGGGATGAAGAGAGTGGGAAAGAAAAAGACCCTGCACTATACCTCTTTGGACAGGTACAGGTTTCCTGGTGGTTCATGTCTGTATCACAAAACATAGGGTTTCATTTCTGCCCTTGAAAAAAAATTCAAAAGCCATTGCCAGTATACATTCTTCCTTGACAATTTTTCACTGGTTTTGGTAAACATGGAGAGTTTATAGTCAGTGTCCCTTCTACAGCAACAATTTTGCCATCTCAGGTGGTTTGTAATAAGCAAGACTTACCAGGACTGCCAAAAGCCTTCCTCAAACCCAGAGCGACTTGTAGCACAAAACTCAGCAGTGGTCTCCTACAGGAAGGAAAATGTGGGCTTGAATCTTTTATTCTACTCAGTGCTATGTTATCTTTAGGGTCCCCAGAACAAGTTTATGCTCAACCTCAGTTCAAAAATGATGGGCTTTGTACATAGAGGTTGATCTGACAGATTTGTGCCTAGAACAGCACCAGAGGAGCCCTGTGCCAGGCTGCTTTCCCCTGATGGATCTTCACCCACTGTGGGTGGGTAGGAAGCAGTGACAGGGCTGGCCCATGCACTGCAGGGCAGCTGGCACTTGAGCTGCCTCCAGGCAGTGTGTGAGCAGCTCTGTGGGAAGCAGCTGCTGCTTCTAATTAAATAGCACAGATCCATTGCTGCTCCCCAGTTTGACGGCAGCAAGCCCTTCTCCAGCCTTGGGTGCTGGAATTAATGCTGCTGTGAGACAACATACACTGCAGCCTGAAAATGGTAGATCAGGTGTACACTTACAGCCATTAAAAGGCTTTAAATTGGTTTAGAATTGAAAAGTAGAAAAAAAATCTGCCATAAAAGATCCAGCTATGGCTGCAACGCAAATGACAGAGTGAAGCTGAATTCAACATGAGGTTGCTTTAGGACTTCAAGGTGCACACCTATAACACCCCCTCTTAGCAAGGGAGGTAGAGGCTGGCTCTGCTTAGCAGCCAAGTTTTAAAGCAGTGTCAAATTAAGAAACCTGGCTTTGAAATACTGGATGTCTCCTGAATAACTTCAAGCCTATTTTTGCAATGCAGGATCAAAGCATTTGCAGCCTTAAGACAGGTTCAAACTAAAGAAATTTTGGACACTCGCCACCCAGAAGGATCTAAGATCTGTGCTGTAATTATTAATACATGAGTTACCTGTAACATGAGAGCAAAGTGAATATACTACATCCATATTTATATATAGATACATTAGGTCTGTGAGCTACAATAGCATTTAATAAAGGAGTGACCAGCTCTTCTGAAGTTCCTAAAGTTCACCCTACACTAAGAATATTTCCATTGCAAAACCAACAAATATTCACTGGATAAAAATCTATCAGAAATTTTGACATAAAAGTCAGAACCCAGACTGCTGTTCTTCTGCTGCAGTCTGACCCCACCAGCCATGGTCATCCCCTCACAACCCACAGAACCTCCTGCTGCTCACTGCAGGGATTAGATGGGAGCAGGGCAAACGCTCCTACCCAGGGGAGCCCAGAGAAGTGAGGCACATCTCCAAAAATGGGAGACGTGAAACCAAATCATCTTGGGCAAGAACAAATAATCAACTCTAGTGTCCTACACCTCATCGTGTGAGGTGGGTGATGGACAAGACTCATCTCCTCAGTGTTTCAATGGAGGACTGTATCCTTCACTGTGTTTTTACCCAATCTGTCCTGGAGATTGGCAGTTTTTTACTATTTTGCATTTTTGAACCCTTAAACATCTCCCATATGAAGAACAGACCAGTTCACATGGAGCACAACCTAAATAACCATTGATTTGCTCTCTGACCTACCTTTCAAGGAAGGTGGGAAGAGAAGGCGGCACAGGGCACCTACAGCAGGAGGATAACACAAGTCTGGAACAAGATGCTGGAGCCACCTGCTGTCATGGAGAAACAGAAGAAGGGTGTCTCAGCCCCTCAGCATTTTGGATCAGTGCTGGAGACCCTCTCACGTGGTGGCTTTGCCCCTCCAGCTGGCCGGGAACACCCCTCCTTACACAGGGGGGGCATCAGCACATATACAATGCTGTGAAACATTCTAGAGAGGATGGGATTCCTGACAGAGGCCTGGGAATTCCTGCAGGAGTAGCTGTATTTTACCTCAGAAACAGTGAGCAAAAGAGAATGACCAGGAAAACCTATGAGACATCAAGAGAGAAACGACAGTGTTACAGTCCCAGTTCAGCACCCATTAGCTGGACACTGGTATAAGAGGGACTGAACAATCCTCATGTAACATCTTCTGAAACATTAGCTGCAGACAAATATCTTTCTCTGTATGAATTATGAAGTATTGTTTCATGTTTAATTGCATTGATTTGCATTGAAAGCTTTAAACATCAGCCTAATAATTATCTTAAACCAATTTGTCATCCAGAATACAATAAACCATTATCTGTGCCAGTGCTTACAAGGAGCTGATTCTCCTGCATTAGAGGAACAAGAAGAAAATAAAAGAAACCAGCACTTAAAACGTTAGAGCGTGTGTTCAGATTGCTGCATTTAGGGGAAAAAGCTGTGAGAGTGATTGCCAGTAAAAATAATGGCAATGAAAAACCTTCAGAGCCAGCAACGGTGCTTATTTAAGGAGAAAATGTCCAAATGGTGGTCAGGAGCTGGCACTCACCAGCACTGAGCTGCCGTGGCTGGAGCCACGGGTCACCCTGCTGCCCTCACACCCACTGTAGAGCTCTCCTGAAAGCCAAAACAAGGGGAATTCTGTCCTAAATCCTCCTCTCTCCAAAACTGAAACCAGCCCTGAGGGCAGTGCCTACGCGGCCGTGATTTGTGTTGCTGCTGGTGGCATCGGGACCAGCCGCCTTTCTGCCAGGTCACTCCCCTGCCTTTGCACACCAATGCTTCTGCTAATAGAGGGAACATTAACAAATATCTTTAAGAAAGAAACTTCACAGCACTCCAAGTGCTGCTCTGAGAAAATGCCTGACTAAAACCAACACTAAAAGCAATCTGGCTGGAGGCATGAAAAATTTTGGACAAAGCAATTTTAGCCTTACCAAGCTACCAGACACCATGACCAGGAGACAGCAACGCAAGATGCATTATAGGGAAAGCTGCTGGGACAGGGCTTTGCCAAGGGGGATAGGCTGCGAGTCCCCACAGCCTGGAAAGGAGGCGATAATGATGTGTGCTCTGAGCCCCTAAAATTCCTGCAAAAGTAAGCAAAATGAACCAAAGGGGAGCTATGCCAGGTTTCGAAAATTTTAAACCCCTTTGACAGCCACACACTGTAGTACATGTTATCTGTGTGAGATCTTGCAGCAGTTGAGCATTTTACAGCTCCTGTCCCAGGGAGCAGTCATTTTGCAAGGCTTTGCTTGCAGCATCGCACCAAATTTCACTACCACTGCAAAACCTGTCCCCCCCCTTCCCTCCCCCCGCCAGTTCCAGTGTAATGGTCTTTACTTTGCAGAGTGATCTTGAAACACACACAGTGGTTTTTAGGGGCAGGATGAAAGCCTGATGTGACTCATGGTGGTTCTCAGGGGTGTTTCCAGGACTGTCCTCCCCACTAGGAAAAGGCACATCACAGGGTTGTGGGCTGGAGGCGTAGTCCCTGTCTCACTGCCCCAACTCCTTGGCCAGGGTATGTGGTAGATGCAGAGGGTGACAGCCCTTTACTGGGCACAACCACCATCACCCTGTGCTACAGGTCTGAGCTCCCAGGCAGTGTTTGTTCCCCAGCTGGGAAGCCCTTTGCATTGCACAAATCACAGAATGGTTTGGACTGGGATGGACTTTAAAGCTCATCCAGTTCCAACCCCTGCCATGGGCAGGGACACATTCCACTAGAGCAGGTTGCTCAAAGCCCTGTCCAACCTAGCCCTGAACACTGCCCCGGATAGGGCAGCCACAGCTTCTCTGGGCAACTTGCTCTACTCCCTGACAGTTTCTCTTTTAATACAGTTGAGTAGAACTTGAAGACCAGATGACTGCTCAGTGTCCCCAGACAGTGAAATCTCAGGGAACTTTCAAAGCTGAAAAAAAACATCCTAAAAAAAATAAATAAAGGACAAAACCGTACCGACTCAACAAAGACACCACCACAAGGCTTTAACTCCAACACAAACCACGCACTGCAACACCAGAAGAGGGAAACAGCTAGTCTTTGGATTACAAACACAACGTTTCTTGCATGACCAGGAGACACACAGGCAGTCTCATGAGCAACGGAATCCCACCAAGGGCAGGCAGATCTCCATTTCATCCCTCCATCACTGCTTAGTGTAGCCGAGCAAAAGGCAGGCTGGGGAGCAGGGCTGCAAGCAGCAGTGCAGGCACATCTTTCACTGGGCTGGGGCCTCCTGCCTTCACCACAACATTCATTTCAGCCTACAGCCCTTCATATAAAGTATCATCAAATAATTCACAGTAGGTGTCAGCTGCAAGCTACAGCCAAAGAGGTTTATTTAAGATACCATGTGGATTGTTATACAAGATCCTGATGGATTATTCCTATCCGAGAATTTACAGATACTGCAGGAGCTTGGCCAACAATTTGGATTAGTTTAGATTAAACTCACTGGGTTGGTTTTTCTCCCTTAGGAAATCTCAGCCCTGGGTCTACAGACTGTTTTTAAAGGGAAGATAGAGACAAAAACAACTTTTACACTTTTCAGCAGGCACCTAAAGCACTTTTCCATCAATCACCTTTGATATATGGAGGCAGAAGTGTGAGTTACTTCATTAACAGCAGTCACACATAACTGGGTACATTTACATATTAATCAGACAGCTGAGCTGCTGATCTTTCTTTCTTATGTGCATCTGTAACCATTAGTCAGAGCTCAAGTGCTGTTAAATACTCCAGGTACCACCAAGTACTCTAAAATCAAGACGAGTGCAGGTGACAGGGAAAGACTCATATTTACAATGCTTCCGTAGAGCCTAGCACCGTTAGCTCTGCAGTGGCAATGTAAATACATATATCTAACACCAGGAGCTTTAATCCAGTGGGAACCTTAAGTAAGGTGAGGCACTCCCCCTGCCTAGAGACCTTAGCGATTCCCAGAGCAAAGGCTGGTTCAGTTCAGCCTTCTCCAGGCCCTTCACTGGTGTGTGAGCAGCACAGGGCACTCAGCTGCCCCACACCTTAACCTATTAACAGTAATGTCAAGCACAGCCAACAACTTAACCTGGGGCTTGTTGGGGTGGGAGAGCCCAGCCCCTGTTCTTCTCACTGCCCTGAGTCTTCTGCAAAGTCCAGCTGGTTTTCTGGACATGATCTGGTCCCCGGGTAGATCAACCCCTAGCAGCACAAGGGATTGACGCAATGAGGAGACACGGGCTACGCTCCCAAGTCAGTAATTACTGATATGAACAACCCACGCGGAACTCACCCGAGGGTGATGGCAGCTCTACAATCGAGCTGTTGCTCACTGCGGCCCACCCAGCACCCATCCCCGGTACGGTACAGCACAGCAGTTACTAGGTTTTTCTCTTTTGCCTGTTCACTTGCCAGCCCCAGGTCTGCAAATCCACATCCTCAGCTCCCTCACACACAGCTCTGGACCTCTCTTCCATGGTGCCAGGATCTGAGCTGCTGAATTAAGCCCTCTCCACCTTCCAGGAGCAGACAGCACCATGAGGTTTAAGCTTTGGGCAGGAGCACGGTGCCTGTTCTTTCTCACAAGGCACCATGCACTCACCTTCTCCCCGAGGGGCCCTGCTGGTTCACACCTACAGCTGCAGCCCACAACAGAACACATACATGTACCAAATACTTTGCCAAGGAAGTGATCTGTGGTATCTGCAGAACCGTCACAGTTTACATCTCATGGGCTTTCACTGAGCAAAGGAAAAATAACGCGTGTGGCTGCAGCGTCACACGCGCTGTGCAGGGCACTCCGACACTTGCTGAGGTGAGCGGCTCCAGGGAGGAGCCTTCAGCAGTGGAGCAAGGGAAACCCCGCATCCAGCAGGCTTCATTCTGAGTGGTGAGAGCCACCGAGGGAGCCTCGAGCCCTCGACAGGCCTTGCGCTGGAGCGGCAGCTCCACTGAGGTGAGCAGGGACCCACAGGGCACGGCACGGCAGGGCAGCAGCTGGCACAGGTGGGATGGGGAGCACCCACCTCAGGGATAGGGCCTGGTCTGGGGGCTCTGCTCTGGCTGCCCCAGCAGTGGCAGCACCAGACAGAGCCAATGAGGGGAGGCTGCAGCGCAGGGCGCAGGGTGTGGAAAGTGCCTGCGCTGGTCTCTTGAGGCGAGGGTGCACAATGGGCAGGGCTGCACTCAGTGGAGGTCCTCCTGCAGCAGGGGCTGAGCTGCGGGATGCTGCCAATAGGCTGAAAGTTGTCAGGGAAGCTGAGCGGAAGCAGCACTGCTTGCTCCAGACCCAAACCGTGCGGGGGCCTCAAGCGTCCACCATAGCGCATACAGAAAAGGAGAGTGTTAATGGAGGAAGATGGGAACTAGTAACAAACAAACAAAAAAGGAGGAAGAGGACAATTAAAAGTGAGGCACTTCCTCCAAAACCCGACGTCCCCACCCAGAACTGCAAGGGGCTAACATGGAAATGCACGCTGCACCAAATGAACAACCGGCTGAGGCACCAGTAAAGAGGATCGCTACTGGTGCTGCCAGGAAAAAGCAGCAGGTCATAGTAGTAGGGGACTCTGCTTTGAAAGGCACAGAGGCACCCATCTCTCAGCCTGACCCAGTCTCAAGGGAGGTGTGCTGCCTACAAGGCGCTCAGATCAGGGATGTTGCAGAGAGGCTGTCTGGTCTAAGTCCCACTGACTATTATCCACTTCTTGTGGTCCATGTGGGTGCTAGCAATATTGACAGCAGCAGCCTAGGAATCATTCAGAACGACTACAGAGCCCTGGGAGAGGTGGTTAGGGGCTCTGGAGCTCAGGCAGTTTTTTCACTGATCCTCCAGGTCAGAAGGGAGGACCTTAAAAAGGCTAGGTGGATTTGGCAGGTTAATAAATGGTTAGAACAGTGGTGCCATAGTCAGGGGTTTGGGTATTCAGAACATGAGACTCGATTTGGGAGACCAGGTCTACCGGGGGCTGGTGGAGCCGGTGACAAAACGGGGGAAGAACCGTTTTGGTAGGATACTTGCCAGGCTGGTCAAGATAGCTTTAAACTATATGTGTTGGGGGATCCATCCCGACACTCTTGGTCAGTTGCCAGCACCTGTAATAAATGCTTGGAGCAGTGCGGAGCTATTTCAGCCGCTCCAGCCAATGCGTCGGCTTTATTTGGAGCTCGGCTCAGGTGCCTCATTACAGACGCCCATAGTATGGGGAACAAACAAGAGGAATTAGAGATGTGTACACAACTACAGGGGTATGATATCATTGGCATCACAGAAGCATGGTGGGATGACTGTGCCTGGGGACAGGTGATGAATCAACAGAGAGCTTGTGAGTCAAGGTCAAAGGGAGAACATCAATGGGGGACATTATTGTGAGGATCTGTTATAGACTGCCTGATCAGGGCAACTGCAGAGAATGACTTGGGGGTGGTGACGAGAAACTTAACATGAGCTGGCTTCAGTGTGCACTCGCAGCCCAGAAAGCAATTCAAGCACCTTGTCCAGAGAAGCTTCGCACAGCAGCACTGTTTTACAGCCAGAGGATCTCTCCTCCATCTTTCAGCACTGTTTATAATGTTCTATTGATTGGTTTTGTCAAACTATTTTATCGATTAGAAGTATTTTTGACCTCTGCAGCCAGGACA